TGTAATGCTTCAGTATAACTCATAGCCACGCTTTGCTAGTATTGCGGTTAAGCATTGCCTCCTTTGATAGTATTGCAGTGAAGCCGAGCATGTGCCTCTCTTGCACAGAGAAATTCATATAAGGAAAGTATTAAAAATGTAAAATAATTGTAATAATATTACTATTTGGTTTGTATATGTAAAGGTGTGTATATATATTATATAATTTAGGTGTGTATATTATACAGTATATGTTATATAATTTAAATTTTTATGATTTGTTGCAAATTTGAAATATACAGTATATAAATTCAGACGCTATGTGTTTGGTATACAACGAACGAAATAGTTACAATTAAATTTTATTAAATCTATATATCCAACAAATACCACCTTATAATATTTGTTGTTTTAAAAAATAAGTTAATGAAATGCTTTACATATTAATGATATACTTTATTTATTGTGTTTACTTCTTTATTTATACCAAATAACTGTATAATTGTCATTTATGTATAAGAAGTTTACGAGGTTGTAACATTTTCCATTGTCTCAGAAGTTCCATTAATTGCACTCAGGTTATTAACGTCATTGTGTCATTATTTCCGGTGTGTTTGTTGTGCTTATCATTATTCAGTTGATGTGCCAAAAGTTACTAATGTTAAATTTATAATAGTTTCATTGTGCTCCCTTATGTTGTCACATTTGTTTTGTAACATGTGCGTATTTTATTGTTATTTTAATCAATAATATCATTATACTATCCCATATGAGAAAAAAGTTTTAAAATTGTATTGCCATTAGTTATCAGAAATATTGAGCATACAATTGATAAAACAACCAATAGTAATATTTTCTATTACCACCGTTTATGATATTTTAATTTGCCATGCTGCATATATTTAAAAATAATCATGTGCTTACTTAATGATCACAAAAAAAATTAAGTTTTATTTTATTGAAATATTATTTTTAAATATTTTCAAATATATTTTTAAAATGTTCATTGTTAATTACTTTTGCTCCTGATAAAACAAATGAATACATAATTACTTGGTCATTCATTTTATAATAAAATTAATTAACATTCAAACTCTTGTGTATTATTAATAATGATCTATTATTAGTAAAATGCAATAATTCGGAAAAGTTGTGTCAACTAATTATCACTTTTAAAGTAATTTTTACCGCTAATTAAACCGCAAACACACAAACAACAGGCGAGGGCTAACACTATAGCCATTACACTCAACAGTATGTTAAGTATCCAATAGGCGGACAAATACAGGTTTTGGTGACAGTAGTATTCGGAATCGGGGTCTTCAAAGTCCGGGAAACGAGCTTGGTACACTACGCACACCACTATGGATCAAAGTAAAGTGGTTAGTTTGTTTAATCCATTAATTTCTATTAATATTTAAATTGTTTGTACAGGCTATCAGAACCACCAAGGTAATGAATCTCCATATGTAGCTACATGAAACTTCTGTCCGTGATCGTTTACTGTCCTTTTTGGTCTGGAAGGTTAACAAACCAAACACACCGTTCACTATCATTAATATGGGCAGTGATGGGGCAATGGGACAGTCATGCAAGTAGATTGAACCTAACAATAATATTAAATGTTTGCATTATATCATAATTTTCAATCAAGATTACTATTTGATTAACTATTACTAACCCATTGTTATGAATATAATCTGTACGCCGAGCGCCAAAAATATAATTAACACAATGAATACTACAAAATATTAAAAACATTTAACAGTAAAAATAATTTATGTACATTTTATTTGTATAATAATAAATAGAATTAAAACTGAAACAAACCAATAGACCCTGCGCATATTACCGGACAGCATAGACAGCCAACTACTGTGGCGGCATTGCTACTAATAGCGCCATCGGTAACATCTTTGTTGGTACTGATGGTCACTTTGTCTTCTTTCTGAAATGGTTCCGCCTCTTCATTAACATCGATGGCAACCGATTTGTTTAATCCGTCACTCATTTTAATAACAATAGTTAATTACAATTAATTAATTAGTGTTTGTAAAAAACAACGCCTATTACTAATAGTAAAACATTATTTATTATAATATTAGGTATTATTATTTTTTATGATAAGTAAAAGTAAAATGTGTGAAAGTATTTGTTATTTGTGTTGACTATTCGTATAAAAAGAGGCATAATTATCAAATATCCATGACTTCACTAATCTGTGAATTAATACAATAAACCGTTTATTTGTTTTACGTTTTTATCATTGTTTTGGTTAGATATTAATGTAGCATCAATGTCAAATCACTATTGTAGTTTACGTTTAAAAAAATTATAATTAACTAAATATAATTAACATTGAAACGAATACAAAAGTATGTTTTATGTTTAATAATATTAAAAGTAGAAACTAACTTTATATTTATACAATTTATACAATAATACGGTTATAAAAATTTTAATTTTGTTATTAAATTATTTTTTTAAACAAAATCGATTGTTAATAATTTATATTATTTGATTATAATTTGTTGAACATGCACAAAACAAGTCAGAATTTTATTTAAATTTAATTTAGAATTTTGTTCACTGAATTATTAAAAAACAAACCCTGTGTTTTACAATTTTATCCTATTTAATTAAATAAACTATATAAACATGTTTACATTAATTTAGCTATTAAACTTTGCAAAACAACTTACTTTATAATTGTAAATAATTGTTTATTAATTTTAATTTGATTATATAGGTATAAGAATTTGATAAATATAAAAAACGCAATTAATATATAATATAATTTATTAATAAATTGTTTTCAGAAGTGATAAAGGTGTACGTGCTCATGTGAATTCATTTCAACTTTGTTGTCAAAGTATATGTAGATGAAAACAAAAACCAGAGTAACAATAGTTGGTAAACTAACTGGATAATATAGGTTAGGGTGGCAAAAGTTCTGAGAGTTCGGGTTGACAAAGTCTGGGGTTCGGGCATGCAAAATTACTCCCATCACTAAAATTAAATAATAGCCATTTTGAAAATATCAAATTAAATAAATCGAATTAAAATAATTTGTACATACACGCCGCCATAACGGTAAAGTTGATACCACCCCATAAATAAAATAAGAATGGATCATCACCCAATTCGTCGCGAGTCATTAAAGTAATTATATATAAAAAGTGTAAAATTCCCAAAACTATTGCTAATATGGGGAATGCCGGCGCTCGGGGACAGTCGTGCAAATAGATTGAGCCTGGTGCAGAGATTACATTTTAGAGTAAATAATCTAAATATATAACATATTTACCCAGCACAACATATACTATCTGTAAACCAAGTGCCGCCAATACCAACAATGTCTTTATAACTGTGTTATTTAACAAAAGGAAATTTGTTTAAAACAAACAATAGTGCAATACGTGACTTGATCATTTTTAACCACAATTCAGCTATGAATAATGTGGTTTATAGGATCGTTCTGCATTTTCATCCTCCGCCCTCCCTTCGCTCTATGGGATTTAACATGTGATTACAGCAAAAGTCTATGGCTATACTCAATCATGGATAATTCTAAGTCTATCGTATAGGGATAGCATGGGTCTATGACAGGGTTAACATGGGCAGTGCTAAATCTATGGACAATGCTAACTCTATAAGGAGTGCTAATCCTATGGATTATTAAATGTGTAGATAATGCTAATCTATTTATTAAACAATACCCGAATTATGGTTAACGTGTAGCATCGCTGTGTGATCCTTGTTTTCTATATAAACAATTTATTAATTACCTTTCTTAATGATATCACTAGTTTTACGATGATTATCTAACAATGGCAATTCTTCTTGTTGACCATCATGTTGATTTTTGTCGTCCACATTTTCACTTACTATGATTATAAAGATATTATAAGCATAACTTCATAATCATAACAATTATTTGAGTAATTTATATGGACCGTTAAATATAGTTGTATTCATACTATTAAAATCAAATTAATGTAAATTAACCAGGGTAGATAATTATTATACTTATTTGGTTGTTCATATTCTAACTCAATAGTCAGTGTATTTACAAATACACAACAACTGTGTTGTACTGTACAATAAAATAGTACATAGGAACAAAACCATAATATGTATATTATACAGTATATTTAAATAGAAAATCTAGAGTAGACCAAATTGACTCAGGGTTAACTTTTGACTTAGGTTAACCCGGGTCAAAGTCAAATTTTTTTTGACTCGTTAAGTTAAAAGTCAAATTTGGTTTTGACCCGGGTTAACCCGGGTTAACTTTTTAACCCCAAAAGTAAGAAAATACCTTAAAATTTTTGCAAAATACCCTAAAAATTACAAAATATTCTAAAAATAATTCATATAATGACATCAGCTGGTCAAAAACGGTTAACCACTTCACCTTGACCAACTTTTAAAAGTGCATATGCACCGATTAAGAGATTAGATTGGTTAAATTTCGATAAGAGGATTAATTGTTGATATATAATAAATGTAGTAATATAGTTAATTCAATTGTATCGAAAGAAATAATTAATTATTAATATTATACATAATTATTACTATTGTTGTTATGACAACAATTACTTAATATGGTCAAAAGGTTAACCCGGGTTAACTCGGGTCAAAGTCAAAGATTTTTTAACCCTGAGGGTCAAAAGTCAATTCGTTTTATAACTTTTTGACCTTTGGTCAACACTAAGAAAATCTAAACTAAAATCATGTTAATAAATACTAACAAATTACATATATGGATTTCATATTAATATGTTTATGTAAAGTAATAATAATACTTTACAATAATACTTAACAACCAATAGATAAATACACAAAGTATCTAATACTGTAATATTTTAGAGCAAGGATAGAGCAATAAGTAACTTAATATTTTTATTTTATATAAATTAACATCAATCAATTTTATAAATCAAGTTATTCTACCTGCACAAGTACTTTCAAGCCTATTATCCAACAATGGCAATCCTTCTCCCATAGCATCATCTTGTTGATTTTCGTCCTCCATATTAAATTAAACTATCACGATAAATATTAACATAACTTAATTAGCATAACAATCATTTGAATAATTTGAACAAATCGTTTAGAACCGTAGTATTAATATGAAAATCAAACTAAAGTAAATAAACCAGGGCATATAATTATTATAACCTCTGTTATCTTACTTTTAATTTAAAAGTCAATGTACTTACAAACGAACAAATGTCACAATGGACAACTTTGGCCTTACGGTCTCATTGGCTATTGAGTTAGAAATTGGCCATCATTAATTATTACAAATATATAGTACTTACACTATTATTCCCAATATATTGTTCTCTTAATTATCAAAATAACTATGGTTGCAATAATTATACTTAATGTTTTTATAAAAGATATTACCTAAAGCGGCTACTCAAATTTTAACGAGTTAGGTTAACTATCGGTTTTATTAAAATAAAATATATGTAACTTACTATTGCGTGAGCTATATTCAAATAAAATGATTGAAAAATGAAACAATTAAATTGTCATGATCATTTATACTATGTGTTCGGATAGTTATTGCATATTATTGAAAATAAGTTAGTAAGTGTAGTTATTAAAAAGTAATATAATACTAGTTAAAATAGTCATCATATAAACATGTAACATGTAAGTTAGTTGTTTTTACTACAAAGGAAAACAATCGCATTATTGTAAAATGAAATAATGTATTTATTTCCCAAGAATTCAATCAATGTTAAATCAAAATAGTAATTTAATATTTCAATGCAATTATTGCTTTATAAATTATAATTAATAATTATTCATAAATTTACATATCTCATTTTATGAAATATAATACAGTCAAATACAGGGAATATATTTTATTGGCAAAAATAACTTTCATTTTGTATGTTTTGGAAAATTTTTATTGTCGTTTGAACTTTGTACTCTTTACAAACCCGTATTTTATAACTAATTATTAATTATAACCAATAATAATTATAATTGCATTGGAATATTAAATTATTGTTTTTACTTAACATTAATTAAATACTTATTCAATGAATACATTGTCACTTTATTATAACGCAACAGTTTTATACATTACAGTTGTATAATAACTTAATATTACATAATAAATCATAAATCAAGAAAATTTAATTTATAATTGTTATTTAAATAGTTATTTACTAGTATCAGCTAAATTATAAAAATATAAACATTCAAATTTAATAAGCAACAAAAACACAATTGATATACCGTATAATAATATTGTATTAATAATTGATGTTATATTGTTTATTTTTCTCAAAACTCATTCACTTATATGTTATAATCTATTTTGATAAATATAACACAATAGCTAACATTGATGGTAATAATAATATAAAGTATATAAATGACTGTATATAATAGGTTTCGGTTACAGTAGTCCTGAGAATTCGGGTCGACAAAGTCCGGGGATTTGGCTTTGAACAATATAACCACCACTAAAATAATTAATAATATCAATTTAATTAAATATAATAAATATTAGTTGTACATACAGGTTATTAAAATGATAAAGTGGATAATAGCCCATATGAAAATTACTAATGTGCATGAATTCCCAGAAGTCGTAGAAATAATTATATATAAAATGCCTGAAATACCCAACACTATTGCCAATATGGGTATTGCCGGCGCTCGGGGACAGTCGTGTACATAGATTGAGCCTGGTGCGGATGATTGCATTGTATAATAAATAATCAATATATTTACTATATTTACCCATTACTAAAAATACTATGTGTATGCTTAGAATTGCCAATTTCGCCAAAGCCAATAATACTGTGTTATTTTTAATAATTATAAAAAAATTTTGTTAAAACAAATGCAATAAGTAACTCATTGCTTTCTTGCTTTACAAATTAAGTTAGGTTACCTTCACTAGTACATTTTTGTTCACTAGTAAGCCTATTATCTAACAATGGCGACCTTTCTCCCATGGCATCATCTTGTTGATTTCCATCCTCCATTTAAACCCTTACTATTATTATAAATAGAATATAACCATAACTTCATTAGCATAACAATCATTTTTAATAATTTGTACATACCGGTTAGAACTGTATTATTAATATAAAATTAAATTTAAGTAAATTATTAAAACATTAGTATTGTAAACAAGTTGTATTAAGTAAAGTTATATGTTTTATTTAAATAATTTATATAGACATTATATAAACTTACTGTTGTGCAGTCTATATAAAAATAAAATGATTATACAATTATATTGTTATAAATCATAACTTATAATCATTTATGTGTACATGATCTTATTGCATATAATTAGAAATAACTATATACATATGATATTAGTTAAAATTGTCATAATATAAATATGTAACATGTTACATGTACGTTAATTATTATGACTACAGAACAAGACAATTGCATTATAATGAAGTGAAATAACGTATTCATTGCACAAAAATTCAATTAATGTTATATAAAAATAGTAATTTAATATTTTAACGCAATTAATGCTTCATAGTTAATAATTACTTGTAAATATACTCAATCTGTTTTTATAGAAAATAACACAATCAAAGGCTGTGGAAATATTAAAGGTTTTACACTTGCAAAAAATATTGTATTAAAATATTAAAGTTATTAAATTACATTTATTTGGTATGTTTTGGGAAATGTTGTCTTTTATGTACTGTATATTTATGAGTAATTATTAATTATAAAACAATTAATTGCACATTAATTGAATTCTTATGCAATGAATAAATTATTTTACTTTATTATAATGCGATTGTATTGTACATTAGTAATATGACATTACCGTTGTATAATACGTATAAATGTATTTAAAGTATAATACACTGTATATAAAAAATTGTTTTAATAACATTTACTATTTTTTACACATATAAACAAATTGCATTACATTATTTATATTATTTTAACTAAAATACATAATAGTACGAATTTAAAAAAATTATTTTAACTGATCATTTACTATTTTTACCACAAATATATTGGCACAAGCATTTTATCAACTTAATTGTAACAATAATTACTATAATAGCAAGCAGCAAATTTATAATACAAAATACCGATAAATATAGACTAGGGTGACAATATTGACTCAGATTATTCGTGGGTACCTCAAAATCTGGGAACGCGACCATGTACAACAAAACTGCCACTAAAACATAAACATTATAATAATATCATAATCAATTAGAAAAATATATTTAAAAATTTAATTATTTCACTTACGCCAAATCAATGCAACTAATTTGACCGGGATCATCAAAAAGTTGATTACTTGCCAACAATTATTGCAATAACTATCATCATTTGGAGCCCATATATAGATATTTATGATACCATTGGTTAGTGTGAGTACAGGTATGGATGGCATTACCGGGCAAGCGGTCCAATAACGCCAGGCTGTAATTATCATGTTTAATTATTAGTTATATTTGTTTACTTCTTCACACTTATAAACTCGATAATTACCTAATGCTATTAAGGTGACTTGTGTGCCAAAAAGCAGGCAAACACCTATAATTACCAAAACTGTAATCAAAGTATAAGTTTGGTTAAAACCAGTAAACATTTTCTAAGCATTAGTTAATATAAATAGTAAAATTATAATAAGTTAATTATCAACATGTAAATTTACCTGTTTTAATGAGCCGCTTTACACACTTAGATTTATTATCTAACCATGGCCATCCCCAATTACTATCTTCCTCATTGCCATAATAAATTCCCTCGGGCATTATTATAGATGATTGATAAAATTAAACACTTATTTAAACACTTTACTTAATAAAACATTTTAATTTTGGCTATTTATTTAAACTGTGTGACCACTTATTTAATTATGGGTGTATTTTCATTTTTTAGATCCCGATTGTAAATTTAACAAATATACTTGGTGACAAAATTATGGGACACCTACAATAGTGAATTTATTAAATTACATTTAGTTTAATAGATATTTATTTATTTCAAACAATATTAGAAATCATTTGTGATGTTTGTGCAGTATAAACAATTACACCAATTTAATATATACGCTGCAATAGAATTTATGTAACCTAGTTACTTTAATAGGAAAATCCTAATAGAATTTTATCAAATATTGTAAACATGAAGTGCATTTTACTCATAAAAGTAACACTTTATATTGTTATGACACTGAGAGGTCAATTGTTCGCGCGGTTGCTGTTCGGCAACGTTGCGGGTGTTCTTCAGCGGTGAACATCTCGGCGGCCAAAGAATGTATGAATGAGACAATGATTACACGTCTAAACACTTTAATGGTTAAAACATAACTGAATACAATGTGATTGTGAGAGAGCGGATAAGTATACTGGTAAGTATTTCACTGTAATTGTACAGTATATGGTAATTATAGTTCAATAATATTGCTCTGATTTAAATTTTCAGCTTCTTCTAATGTATCGGGAATTTCCTTGCCTTTCGTTTCGGGCAGATTCAGGGCTAGTAGTGCGCCAACAGATGTCAGTACGCCATATAATACCATCACAAATGTTAAACTAGTAACAGATGCCTATATGAATACAAATTATAAAATTAAATTATCTTGGTTAAAATGCGCAAAAAACAATATATAAAATAGAAAAACATAATATATAAATTAAAATATAAATTTACATAACTGTATGTCGCATGTAACATAAGTAATAATATTAGTTATTAATAATTATATAATAATAAAGCTGTAAAAATACCAGATTTGTCATAAAGGGTGCGCTAATAGAGCCGACGCGAGCGACAACTGAAGAGACGCCGAGTCCTGTGTTGCGGACAACTGTCGGATAGATTTCCGAGCCATGAATTGACAGCACATTCCATGCGCTGGTAATACCATATTTGCCGATCAATGCTAACAACACTCGCAGCCATGAGCTCTGGTCGGCGGCGATCACTGCCACACACGACGCGCCCGTAATTATCATGAATATTGCGTACAGTTTTCGTCGACCGATATATCGCAAGAACAGTGGGGTTAACAGTTGTGCCGGAAGTTCCATCAAACCGGATAATAGGAAGGTTATGTAGAAATTCCCCCCAAAGTCACCCATATTGAAACTAATGCCGTAATAAATTAAAGCGTTTACTATCCATCCGTACCATATAATCAAAGTGTATTTTCTCATGTTTGGTGTTTTAAGCAAATCTAGGGCACTATGACTTTTCTCGTTTTTGGTCGCTTTCTAATTAAGAATAAATGTAAAAATGGTTTTACATAATAATTATATTTATATTATTAAATGTATGAATCATTGATTTGTAATTATATAATTACTTGAGTTGTTTGCAAATTATTAGCCAATTGTCTCATCTGTTCCCTTAAGTTGTCTATCGATTTGCCATTCATTTGCAATGCCTTTCTAATGGTAACCTCAGCCCTATCTACCTGTCCATTAGCTAACTGCCATCGCGGAGATTCATACAGATAGTAAAACCATATTAACATTGCTATCATTGGTAGGGATGATATAAATTGCATGTATCGAAAGTCTGGTAACCAATATGCAAAAGGAGGTAATAATACATAGCCTAATACCCAACCAACACCAGTCAATAGTGTTATATCTGAACGATATTTAGGGCCACAGCACTCGAGCACTGGACAAACATAAATATATCGTATATTATTTTATAAAATAAGAATGATAAATTATTTACAGATTACTTCTAGGGCACGACCAAGGCCAGAATGGCCCAGTCCGACCAGGAATCGTGAGATTAGATATTGGCATATGTTATAGGAGAAGGCACACGAAATAATGCCTAATATTTCAATGGCATAGCACATTAACACCATGGGTCGTCGACCATATTTGTCTGAATAATGTGATACAATAAGTCCTGACACCACATAACCAAACATGAAAAATGCTTGGGTTAGAGAGGCATAGTTAGCCCGATCGCACACTAAATCAAACTATCAATATAATATATGAATAATAATACAAAATTTTAATAAACAAATAATAATTTTCTTACTTCAGTGATAATTGTTTTGCGAAACTGAGTCGTATTATACTCCCATTGAGTGCAGCTTTCGTTTGGATTAATATATTTATGACATTTTATTTCATCGCTTAAATGTTGCGACTTTTGTAAACGAATAATAAAAGTTCATTTGAATACAAATTAAATAAATAATTATCATTTTGTGATATAAAATAAAATGTATTTACAGTGATATTGGTTGGTGTGTCGGCGCACCAAAAGTCCACACGTTTTGCGTGAAAAGCATATCCCATGTTAATGAAAGCCGCGGACGACCACAATAGGAAACAGTGGGCGCAAAATATGAACTGCCATTTACCCCATTCGCCCACTATATCAGCGATATGTTTCACTTCTACCAATTTAGTATTCATCTTCTAAACACTATTGTAATTATTTAATGCAGTATTTTATGTCATATTTAAGTAATTAATATATTTTTATCTAGATTTAGCACCAAAAAATTGTTGTCATTAATTGTCTTACAATAGATAGATATATTGATGTTTACTCTGTTAATTGTTTTGTAAATATTTTTATAATTTATACGCAATCTTTGTATGACAAAAGGAAATCAATTTTTAACAAAACTAAATTCTCTTATACACTGGATCAAAAATGAACATGAACAATTTTTATTTGAAAGTTACAAAATATATCCGGCCCGAATTATTTGTCGCACATAATAAATTGATATTTAATTATGTTTACCAATTAATAAATATATTAAATGATTGAATATTATAACATATAAAACAAGATAAGAATATTTTGGGTATAATAATACTCAATAATACTATAATAGTACCTGCGTACTCTAATAATGTTAGTTCAAAACTAAAGTTAAAGGAAATTACAAACAAAACATTTTTCAAAGTTTACATCAATTGATAAAAACTTGTAAATCAAGGATAAAATATTATTGTTCATAATATTATTAAATACTGTACGCAATGCTTGCAGTAATTATGTGTTAATAATTATACATAATTATTTAACCATCATAAATAATTATAAGAGAGTGACAACTATTGTCACATATTCTATAATAATTGCTATAAATAAAAACTTGTTTTCAAAAAAAAGCTACACATTAATTGAAATAAATTTAATATTGTGCTATGTTCTTCATGCATTTATCCATTACAGAGTCATTTGATTTATATTACCGTATTACCCCGCTTATAGGTGCATGCACTTATAAGTGAATTTCACAGATTTTGCATGTCACCAAAACTACCGCACCTATATCCGGATANCATATAAGTGCACCAATATTTATTTGTCAAAATTATTTAATAAATTAATGGGTAGATGATTCATTATTTAATAATTTTAAGTAAATCTTCTTTTTAATTTCTTTCTTTGTTATGTCACACTTTTATCACTGATTTCTTCATTTATATCCATTTATTTACTGATTATTTATATTTATTTATTAATGATGAATCATCACTTGAAGACATGTTCATTATATGAGATATTTTACACTAATGTACTCATTATTCATGAAACTGATAAATAGAGAAGGAAATACATATCGATTTTAAACATTTAAAGTAACATTTTAGAGTTCAAAGTTTAATTAAAAGTCATTTGACTTTCATCTCAAGGTATATGTAAATTTCAATTGAAAGTCAAAAATGTGCCAAAAACTACCGCACCTATATCCGGATATAGGTGCACCCCTTGTGTGAAAACNAAAAACTACCGCACCTATATCCGGATATAGGTGCACCCCTTGTGTGAAAACTCACATATAAGTGCATGCACCTATAAGCGGGGTAATACGGTAGTTGTTAAAAATAAATATATTTCACAATGACATATATGACAATAAATTAATACATACAGTATATTGATAAGCGTAAATAATAACAATCAATACAATAAACAGTTTGATAATTATTGTGTCAATTATGTTCGTATAAATACATTAATTTTGTATTTTAACAAAATGTTATTAAATAAACATTGACAAATTGTAAATAATTTTAAATAATATTGATTTAATTTTATATTTTAACAACATGATAAATATAGTTAAATAACATTGTTGTGATATAAATGTTCTGCCTCCTCTAATGTGTCGGGAATTTCCTTGTCCTTAGTTTCAGGCAAATACAGCACTAGTACTGCGCCCACAGCTGTCAGCACACCATATAATACCATCACAAATGTTAAACTAGTCACCGATGCCTAAATAAATGCAAATTATTAAATTAATTTTGTTACGGTTAAAAATCTAGACAAAATATAATACAGTTTGGCTTCAATTTTGACACAGAAATTTTTAAAAATTGAATTCTAACACTCTTTTCTTAGCGCACGTCATATTATGCTACTGTTACAAGAATATAATTATGGCACTTATTGTTTTCTTTTGCCACAGCAATAATAAAAACGTGGTCAGACTGCATATTACAAGCACTCATAACAAATGTATAATAATTATTAATACCAGATTTCCCATAAATGGTGCGCTAATAGAGCCAACCCGACCGACAACTGAGGCGACGCCTACAGCGATATTGCGGACAACTGTCGGATAGATTTCCGAGCCATGGATTTGAATCACATTCCATGAGCTACTGATACCGTATTTCCCCACCAATGCTAACAACACCCGCAGCCATGAGCTCTGGTCGGCGGCAATTACTGCCACACACGACGCGCCCGTAATTATCATGAATATTGCGTACAGTTTTCGTCGACCGATATATCGTAGAAGTAATAGTGTTAACAGTTGTGCCGGAAGTTCCATCAAACCCGACAATACGAATGTCACGTAAAAGTTGCCCCCAAAATCACCCATGTTAAAGCTCAGTCCGTAATAAATTAACGCGTTTACTACCCATGAGTACCATATAATTAATGTGCATTTTCTAATATTGTGTTTTTTAAGTAGATCAAGCACATTATGAGCTTTCTCTTTTTTGTCAACTTTCTAATTATAATTAAAAATGAAAATAGTTTAATACCGTAATTAAAATTAATATTTCACATGATATTCATATAGCATTGTGTCAATTACTTGTGTTGCTTGCATACAATTAGCTAATTGTAACATTTGCACATGTAAGTTGTCTACAGATTTGCCATTCATTTGCAATGCTTTTTTAATGGTAACCTCAGCCCTGTCTACCTGTCCATTTGCTAATTGCCATCGCGGAGACTCATAAAGATAGTAAAACCAGATTAACATCGCTATCAATGGTAGGGCTGATATTAATTGCATGTATCGAAAGTCGGGCAACCAATATGCAAAAGGAGGCAATAATACATAGCCTAATACCCAACCAATTCCAGCCACTATTTGTATATCTGAACGATATTTAGGGCCACAGCACTCGAGCACTAAATTAATATTGAATAAATAAGTAATAAATTATTGCATTGAATTTGAATGGTATATTAAAATAGAATTTTATAGAATTTTAATTTATTTACAGATTACTTCAGTAGCTCGACTAAGGCCTGAATAACCCACGCCAACCAACAATCGTGAAATTAGATATTGGTATATATTATAAGAGAAGGCACATGAAATAATGCCCAATATTTCTATGGCATAGCACATTAACACCATGGGTCGTCGACCATATTTGTCCGAATAATGTGCTACAATAAGACCCGACACCACATAACCAAACATGAAAAATGCTTGGGTTAGAGAGGCATAGTTAGCCCGATCGCACACTAAATCAAACTATTAATGTATTAGTAATATTTTATAGTTTACATTTTATATAATAATAGTATTTAAATAAATAACTAATAATTTTCTTACTTCAGTAATAATTGTTTTAAGAAACTGAGTCTTATTATACTCCCATTGAGTGCAGCTTTCGTTTGGATTAATATATTTATGACATTTTGTTTCATCGCTTAAAGTTAGCGACTGTAGCGTTAAGTTATGAATAAGATTTTTAAATTCACTTTTAAAACTTACTGGTTATTAGAACCATAAAATAAAATATCATTTTTTATTAAATTGAAATGTATTTACAGTGATATTGGTTGGTGTGTCGGCGCACCAAAAGTCCACACGTTTTGCGTGAAAAGCGTATCCCATGTTAATGAAGGCGGCGGACGACCACAATAGGAAACAGTGGGCGCATAATATGAACTGCCATTTACCCCATTCGCCCACTATATCAGCGATGTGTTTCACTTGTATCTTGTTGTTATTCATTATTATTTTGAACACTCAAACATTTTAAAATTTAAAAACTTTTGTATACAATATACGTATCATCAAATGTATTATATTTAATGTTTTATATTAAATAATGAATTGTCTGTATAATTTTTATACTAACAAATTGCAAAAATTGTTTTTATGAATTATCGATTAACAAGGTTAGTATGTTATGTTTTAGTTGTTTATTTACTACATGTTTAATTTGCGTTTTTGTTAATGTATGTTTGATAGGGTCCATCTGTTTATAATATATACAATATTTATCTTATTGTAATTATCAAAGTGTGATATTATTGTCAATTGAAATGAGTGAAACGGGAAGGGATGGGAATCTATTTTTAAAAATTACCCTCTTTTCCATCATTCTTTACTAATTCCTTGTATAGTTTAGTACCAAAATTGTATATTAAATGTATTAAAAATTGTGGCATATTAAACAATATACTGTATCTTTAATGAATGCAATATAAAATGAGCTGATTTTCTGGGCCTAATTTTGAGGGAAAATAAAATAAAAACAAGGAATACTTTGCCATGTAGAGGGCCGGGAAATGATTACTCAAAAAATTGCATGTCTAGTTTGATCTAGTTTACTATCATTAGTTGTACGATAACAGTGTTGTAAACTGATTATTAATATTTTTTAACTAACAAGTTTAAACATATTGACATTAAATCAAATTGTATATTTAAATACGGTAATATTGCAAGTTTTAATAATGTGAGTAAAAATATTTAAAATATTATATGCAAACGCGAATTATTGTAAAATGAAATATCAAGTTTTAGAAAATTGTTTTTATGACTAATACTCGATATTTTAATTGCAATATTTTGTTATTAAAATGATATTAAATAAATTTTTTTAATGCAAAAAATAAAATTTTATTATATTTATATAACATTGTTTTTATCTAAATTTTCAGCTTCTTCTAACGTATCGGGAATTTCTTTATCCTTCGTTTCGGGCAAATACAGCACTAGAACTGCGCCCACAGCTGTCAGTACGCCATATAATAACATCACAAATGTTAAACTAGTCACAGATGCCTAAATAAATGCAAATTATTAAATTAATTTTGTTGCGGTTAAATATAATACAGTTTAGCTTCAATTTTGACACAGTAATTTTTAAAAATTTACTTATCGTGGTTGAAAACCTATGCAACATATAATACAGTTTGGCCCCAATTTTGACAGAGAATTTTTTAAAATTATAATCTAACACATTTTTCTAAAAGTCCTGTAGTTATTATTACTCTTAATATTTTAATAAATTGGATTTTCGTTAATATTTTATTCAGCTTAGTTGACATGCTAAAATCTGGGTCAGACTATACATTACTAGCACTTATAATAATTGTAATTGAATACCAAATTTCCCATAAATGGTGCGCTAATAGAGGCTAAGCGACCGACAACTGACACGACTCCGAGTCCAGTCGTGCGGATAACTGTCGGATAAATTTCTGATCCATGAATGACGACCACATTCCAGGAGCTACTGATACCGTATTTCCCCACCAATGCTAACAACACCCGCAGCCATGAGGTCCGGTCGGCGGCGATTACTGCCACACACGACGCGCCCGTAATTATCATGAATATTGCGTACAGTTTTCTCCGACCAATGTATCGCAGGAATAGCGGTGTTAACAGATTAGCCGGAAGTTCCATCAAACCAGACAATAGGAAGCTTATGTAGAAATTGCCCCCAAAGTCGCCCATGTTTAAACTGATGCCGTAGTAAATGACCGCGTTTACAACCCACGCGTACCATAGGATTAACGTGTATTTTCGCATGTTTGGTGTTTTGAACAGATCAAGCAAATTGTGACCTTTCTTATTTTTGATTGATTCCTAATTATGTGCAAAATGTTTAATTATTTTTATGCAAAATAAAATTTAGTTTTATGCTAATTATAATTAAGGTCATTTATATTTATAAGCGTATAATTACTGATGTTTGTATACTGTTAGCCAATTGTATCATTTGCTCCCTTAAGTTGTCCACAGATTTGCCATTCATTTGCAACGCCTTTCTAATGGTAACCTCAGCCATGTCTACCTGTCCATTGACTAATTGCCACCTTGGTGATTCGTGAAAGTAATAAAACCAGATTAACAACAATATTAATGGCAGAGCCGATGCGAATTGCATGTATCGAAAGTCCGGCAACCAATATGCAAATGGAGGCAATAATACATAGCCTAATACCCAACCGCCGATTACATAGATTGTTATATATGACCGATATTTAGGGCCACTGCACTCCAGCACTAAACAAATATAGATACTATGATTACATAATACTGTATGAGAATGATCAATTATTTACAGATTACAAATAAAGCCCCGTTGAGGCCAGAATAGCCCAGTCCGGTGAGGAATCGTGAAATTAGATATTGGTATATATTATATGAGAGGGCACAGGAAATAACGCCCAATATTTCAATGGCATAGCATATGAATACGACGGGTCGTCGACCGTATTTGTCTGAGAAATGCGATACAATTAGACCCGAAAACACGTAACCCATTATAAAACATGATTGTGTCAGAGATGCATAGTTAGCCCGATTGCACACTAAATCAAACTATCAATATATTAATTATTATGTCACATTTTGCTTAACAAAATAATTAAATATAGTTTAAATTATTACTTCAGTTATAATTGTTTTACGAAACTGAGTCCTATTGTACTCCCAATGAGTGCAGCTTTCGTTTGGATTAATATATTTATAACATTTCGTTTCATCGCTTAAATGTTGCGACTTTTGTGCGCAAATATTAACAAGTATTTTAAATACAAATCAAATAATTAATAATTATGTTTAATATATTGATATGAAATGTATTTACAGTGAGATTGGTTGGTGTGTCGGCGCACCAGAAGTCCACACGTTTTGTGTGAAAAACAAATCCCATGTTAACGAAAGCTCCGGTCGCCCACAATAGTATACAATGGGTAAAGAATAGTGACTGCCATTTACCCCATTCACCCACTATATCAGCGATATGTTTCACTTCTACCTTCTTGGTAATCATTTTAAAATAAACTTTTAATTTTGCTTTATATTTTTGATGTTATATTTTATATGATGCATTGTTTTCATTGATACATCACCAAAAAAATTGTTGCAATTATTGTTTAAAACTATTTTGATGTTTTTATTATGTTCATTGTATTTATTAATTTGTGTTTACAATATAAATGTACATTTATCTTTGTGCGATAACTGCACTTAATTTGAGATAATCAAAAGTGACATACATTTATTAATAGTTAACATTCAACACATGCTCATATTTATATTATAATATTGTGCATTAAATTCAAGGCAAATAATGATATATTTTACAGTTTAAGTGTTGGTAAAAGTATAAAACCAAGAGTAATAGTCAGTAAAGTAAGAGAAATGTATAATAAATCTATTTAACAACGGAAACTACATATCAGGGTTAATAAATAAATTAATGTATATCAAATTATTATAAACCAAATTGCAACCATACTATAACTTCACACAAATACGGCAAAAATATGATATAATCTTGATCACTGTTTATATTTCATTATTGCCTGCAGCCAGGTACACCAATTTTTGTAGCCAGAAAATACCCTTTTTAGTTTCTGAGAAATTTATTTATCTTTGTTTAATTCATTACCTTCCTGGTAAACCTACTCTGGAGTCAAGTCATTAAAGTACAAGAGAGACAAGTGATTTATAAACAATTTAATTAAATAATAAATTTTAATGTGTGTCTATGGTAATAATTGTCAAAGCATTGTATTTTGATCTAGATTTTCGGTCTCTTCTAATGTGTCGGGTATTTCCCTATCTTTAGTTTCGGGTAAATACATGTGTAATATTGCGCCCACAGTTGTCAATATACCATATAATACCATCACAAATGTTAGACTTGTCACAGATGCCTTAATAAATAAAAACTTACAAATTAAAATACCATATTTCAAAAACTGTAAAAACATAACATGTGTATAAACATGGTGTATATGTTGCTAAACATTCACAATAAATGCAAAAATAATACCAAATTTCCCATAAATGGACCGCTAATAGAGCCGACGCGACCGACAACTGAGGCGACGCCCTGTCCTGTGTTGCGGACAACTGTCGGATAGATTTCCGAGCCATGAATTGATAGCGCCATCCATGAGCTGCTGATCCCGTATTTGGCCACCAATGCCAACAACACCCGCAGCCATGAGCTCTGGCTTTGGGAGGGAACCACTGCCACACACGACAAGGCAGTGATTATCATAAACATGGCGTACACTTTGCGGCGCCCAATATATCGCAGGAATAATGGGAGGAACAGTTGCGCCGGCAGTTCCATCAAACCCATCAATAGGAAAGTTACGTAGAAATTGCCCCCAAAGTCGCCCATGTTTAAACTCAGCCCGTAGTAGATCAACGCGTTAATTGCCTGTCCGTACCATATAATGAGTGTGTATTTTCTAATGTTTGGTGTTTTGAACAAATCGAGCACGTTATGACCTTTCTCCTTTTTGCTCGCTTCCTAATTGTATGAACAGAAATACAGCAAATGTTTTACATAATTGTATGTAACTTTATATATTGTTATCAAGGTATTTACTGGTGTTGTTTGCATACTATTAGCCAATTGTCTCATTTGTTCACTTAAATTGTCCACAGATTTGCCATTCATTTGCAATGCCTTTCTAATGATAACCTCAGCCCTATCTGTCTGGCCATTAATTAATTGCCATCGTGGTGATTCGTGAAGGTAATAAAACCAAATTAACATCGCTAGCAATGGTAGGGCTGATATAAATTGCATGTATCGAAAGTCCTGCAACCAATATGCGTACGGAGGCACTAATACATAGCCCAATACCCAACCAACGATTGACAATATTGCTATATCTGACCGATATTTAGGGCCACAACACTCGAGCACTGGACAAACATAAATAAATCACGTATAATATTGTATAAAATGAGAATGATCAATTACTTACAGATTACATATAGTCCACCACTAATGGCAGAATGGCCCATTCCGGTGAGAAATCGTGAAAATAGATATTGGTAAATATTATATGAAAATGCGCAAGAAATAATTGCCAATATTTCAATAACATAGCACAATAATACGACGGGTCGTCGACCATATTTATCTTTATAATGGGATAATATAAGACCCGACACCACATAACCCAACATGAAACATGATTGTGTCAGGGATGCAAAATTAGCCCGATCGCACACTAAATCAAACTATCATTGTATTAATGGTACCAATAATTATATTATATTTAATAAATTAATTAATTGATTATAAAATTTCTTACTTCAGTAATAATTGTTTTACGAAACTGAGTCCTATTGTACTCCCAATGAGTGCAGCTTTCGTTTGGGTTATTATATTTATGACATTTCGTAGCATCGCTCAAATGTTGTGACTTTATTATTATGCAAATAACAAAATATGAAATCAAAAATCAAGCCAATAAAATTATGTTAAAATCCCATCTATTATTAACATTATATATTTTTAAAAAATTAGTTTTTCAATAGAATCCCTGAGGGTAATAAACGAGATTTTAATTTGCATTTGACTAAAAATAAAATAATTAAATATAACTTTTATAATGATAAATGACATGTATTTACAGTGAGATTGGTTGGTGTGTCGGCGCACCAGAAGTCCACACGTTTTGCGTGAAAAACATAACCCATATTAACAAAAGCCGCGGAACCAAAGAATAGGAAACAGTGGGAGAATAACATGAACTGCCATTTACCCCATTCGCCCACTATATCAGCGATATGTTTCACTTCCACCACTTTAGTAGTCATTTTTAATACACTTTTCAATATACTATTAAATTATACACTTTATTACAATATTTTAATTTTATATTTTAGATAATTGATTTTTTATAAGAAAAATAATAAATGCATTTTTGTTAGTATCTCAATAAATTGTTACCTTGATTTATTACTTGAAAATATTTTATTTGTGTTTACAATAATCATTATCTTTGTGCAATAACTGCACTTAATTTTAAATAATCAAAAATACATCAAATTATTACATTTAACAGATACTCATTTTAATAGTATAATGTTATACATTAAATTCAAGGCAATTACAAACAACTAACTAAAATAGTAAAGATCTAATTTGTGTAAAGTATGTTTGTCTGAGTCTCAGTATTTAAATCCAAGTAAATAAAGTAAGAGAAAAGGGTGAAAAATAAATTTATATAAAGTTTACATTTGTATTATGCTAATAACGGATATGACATATCGAGATTAATAAATAAATTAATGCAACAATATTAATTATACACTAAATTATTCACGCAAATACAAAAAATAGAATATAAAAATTAACTAATGTTTATGTTTCATTATCGACTATATCCAGGTCGTACCAATTTTTTCTTAGAAATCAACTTGGGTAAAAAACAACAACAAAATATTACAATAGCTATGGCCGCGACGCCAAACAGTATATTAAGTATCCAATAGGCGGTCAAATATAGGCTTGGGTTACAGTAGTCGTCGGACCCCAGGTCTTCAAAATTAGGAAAACGTGCATGGTACACTATTATTGCCACTAACAAACAGGATATTTTTATATTAATTTTGATAAATAGGAGTTAATTAATAAATTCAAATTGTTCATACAAACAATCGTAGTGATCGTGGTGGTTAATCTGCATATGTTGCTAAATATGATCATGCATCTAGATCGATTACTATCTTTAGTGGTCTGTAGGTTGAATAAACCAAGGATACCATCCATTATCAGTAATATGGGTATTGCCGGCGCTGCGGGGCAGTCACCGCGGCTGTAGATTGAGCCTGATACAAATTACATAATTTAATCAAACTAAATTTAATATAACTTTATACAGTATAACTCTCGCTTTGTAGTTGGCATTGATTTCTGACTAACCGATTATTATCTTATAAAAGAGTTATACTGTGTAGAAAATTTTATTTACCCATTGTTATGAATATAATCTGTACTCCGAGTATCACAAATAAAAACAATAATATCGCAACCGCATAGAATACTAATGATAAAATAATGAATTAGAAAACAATAAAAAGTTACTAACAGTAAATAACATAATAAATATGTTAAATAAAAAATAACCGTATTTTGCAAGAAAAGCAAAGGGTTTGCAAAACCAAGTCCACATTAAACAAAAATCATCATCACGACCATGGTGGTTAGTTGGCTGCAAATTGGTGATGGTCACTTTGTTCCCTGTTTGTAATGGTTGCGACACTTCATTAACATCGATGGCAACCGATGTGTTTAATCCGTCACTCATTTTAATGCTATTTTTAACATGTAATTAATATATTTCTATTTACAAAAACAATAATGATTATTTTTGCTGTTAGTTAAAAATATTGCATTTTTAATACATATTTATTTACGTCTCTTTATATTGTGTTTATTAAAATTACTTAAGTATAAGTAATAAAATATGGCATATAATTGTGATAAATACTTGTTTTATAGATGTACTAAATGTAATAATCAAATATCCATGACTTCGTATATCTATTTTATAATATGATAAATGTTTTATTTGATTGTTAGTAAAATTGTACTAAATTATTATAAATTATAACAACTTCATTAAATTTCAATAAGTTTTTGTTTGTAAAAAATACACAATTTTATTTTCAATGTTTAATCATTTTTAGTAAACATGGTAATTACTTATAATAGCAATTTATAAATGATCACATATAAATAAATGTGTGATAATTCATTTCAATAATTAGTTTAGAGTTACTGTTGTTTATTTTAATACAAAATTATTGCCTAATTATAACAATAAAATATTGTTTATTATTACATTTTAGTATTATGTGAAATGCTTAATGATTAACCCTGTTACAACAAGAAAACATGATACTACAAATCCAGTTAATATAGTACCCAATAATATATTAATTATATAATAGGCTGACATATAGAGTTTGGGGTGGCAGTACAATTCGGAGTCCGAGTCATTAAAATAGGGAAAACGAGCTTGGTACACTATCATTATCACTAGGATCAGGGCAAAAGTGTTTTTAGATTAATTAATTTTAATAAAATAAATATTAAATTGTTATATTAAATAGTATCCATACAAGCAAGCATAGTGCCCGTGGTGATTAATCTCCAAATCCATACAATTGTTAAGCATGAGCGTGATCGCTTATTATCTTTATTGGTATGAAAATTGAACATGTTAAATACACCGCATACTATCGTTAATATGGGTAATGCGGGCGCTCAGGGACAGTCGTGTAGATAGATTGAACCTGGTGAGTATTTTATTACATTAAATTGTATAAGTTTTTGACTATAAATTATGTATATTACCCATCACAATAAATACTATAGAAACGCACATGGCCAAACATATCAACAATAATATTAAAGCTATTTTGTTATAAATGTAGTGATAAACATATTAATTAAATAAAATAAATATCGACATGGTAAATATTGGCACACACCACATGATCCAGCGCACGCAACGGGCACACATAAAATTGCACACATGGAACAATTGCAATTAGTACTACCACCCTGGTTAGTGTTGTTAGTGAACAATTTGCGTATGGTCACTTTGCCATCTGTTTGAAATGGTTGCGACTCTTCTTTGCCATCGATGGCAACCGATGTGTTTAATTCGTTACTCATTTTAATGCTAAATATTTAATTCAATATTAATTAATGGTTAGTTTTCATTTATATAAAAAAACTCTGTTTATTAATCTTAAAAGTTGTAAGTAATATAAACTTATTATATTTGCTAGTTTGTTTGAATGAGGGAAAGTAATTACTGTCTTATGTGATAAATACTTGTTTATTATGTACTCATTCATTCATGTATTACATTGTGGTAAATATATAATGTTAACTAATTTTATAAATTGGTAGATTTGCCTCAATGTACAGCGCTGCTATATATTAATCAAATATCCATGACATCAAGCAACAATTATTAAATATAATAAATGTTTTATTTGTCTGTCATAAACTTTATAGTAATATAAAAAATCATTGTATCATTAAAACCTTAATATATTTTTGTAGAGTTTTATTATATATCATATTGAGTTTTATTATATATTATTTAATTAACATTTTTTATAATAATAAAATTTACACAGAAATTAAAACATGATTTTGAAGCTATTATGGTGATTTATACAATTTATTGAAATATTGTATAGTAAAATTATGCAATTAATGTTTATATTTACAAATAATTTTTAAACTTCTACCATGCCGTGACAAAACCATATTAAAAATAGACAAATACAACATGATACAACCAGAATAAATAACATAGTACCCATTAATATATTTATTATCCAATAAGCGGACAAATATAGGTATGGATTACAGTAAAAGTCGGAGTCCGAGTCATCAAAGTAGGGAAAACGAGCTTGGTACGTTATGATTATTACTAGAATTAATATTTAAAAAATTTTAATTAAAAAATAATAATATAAACATATAAAACTATTAAATTGGTACTATTCATACAAGCAAGCATAATGGCCATGATAAATAGTATCCAAATACAAATAAATGTTATGCATAATGGTGATTTTCGTTTGCTTTTGTCGCACAGAATTAATTGAGCTACACTTGAAAAGTTTAAAATACCGCTCACAAGCATTAGTGCGGGTAATGCCGGAGCACGGGCGCAGTCGTGTAAGTAGAGTGAGCCTGGTAATTGTGGGTAATTTATTTTATTAAATTTTATCGCAATAATTTGATATTGAAATAGCGGTATTACCCATCACTATGAATACTATCGATACGCCAATCGCCAAAAATATTAACAAAACAAATAGCGCTGTAAGAAATATAATTTATGTAATTTTACTATAATTACAAAATTTTAAAAATTATTTAAAATATATAATTATTATAATTATAAATGTGAACTAACCCATTTGTCCGGTCCAGCAAATCTGCTTACATAAACAGCCACATATTGAAAATGTGTTGTCACTACTACGACCATGGTTATTTGATGGCAATTTGTGTATGGACACTTTATCATCGGACTCAAGTGGTTGTGACTCTTCATTAACATCAATGGCAACCGATGGCAGCGATGGATACATTCGGGTTGTGTTTAATTTATCACTCATTCTAATGCTGAAAATTTTATAACAATTTACTACAAATTAAATTTTCATTGTAAAAACAGTATTTATTATTATAAACATGTTTTTGTTTTTATATTGTATTTTTTTTGTTAGATTAAATTATGTGAGTGTTACACTATTTTTGTGATAAATACTAGATACAACAATCATATTTCCATGGCTTCGGATTTTAATTATTGTTTTGTAATTAATGTTTGCTTTTATTTGTTATAAACCTTTTGCCGTAATTTTGATTAAATTCCTAAATTGTTATGTTGTTCGTAATGTGTCTTCAATACTACCATTGACTACCAGTCCTCCCATAATGGGATAATATGGCACTTTATACGTTAAAAATAAGTTTTTTTTACAAATAATGTATTGGAATAATTGCTGTAACACTTGTTATTTGATTTGTAAAATAGTTATTTTCAAAGGTCCTGATATTAAGTAGACTACGTAATCAAAATCTTTATGACTAAATTTTTAATCATAATTCATTTACTGCAATAAGCAAAATATTATTATAATTTTTATCCGCTACTTAATTCATTATTGACCAATAATTGATATAAAAACAAATAATTTGCAATAAATTACTAAATAAAAACCTAAATAATCTGGCAACACTGCTTTTTACACCGTGCTTTATTATATACACACATTGTGCAAAACAGTGCCATAGATATAGCAAACAATGCCAACAATCCATTGAGTATCCAATAGACTGAATGATATAAGGTTGGGTGACAGTAATGGGGAGAATGCTCTCGGACAAACTCTGGAAAACGAGCATGGTACACTACGTATATCACTGCAAACAGAGTAAATTAATTATAAATTATAATCATATATTTAAATAATATATTCAAATTGTAATTTACATACATGCTAACATAGTGACCATGGTGATAAATCGCCATATCCAGGTCAATATAAAGCATAAATCATATTGTTTACGGTCACGGTTTATACGCAAATTAAACATGTTAAATACACCAAGTAGTATCATTAATATTGGCAATTCTTGTGCCCGGGGACAATTGTGATAATAGATTGACCCTGATGACATTATTTATTTAATTATTTTTATTATGCAACGTAATAAATATTTATTACTTACCCATCACTATAAAAACAATCTGTACGATAAGCGCCAAAAATATTATCAACACTAATAATACTATTTTTAATGAAAAATCATTTGAAAATTAATTATTAAAATTTTAATGGAGTTATTTACAGTTATTTATACAGTACATAAAGTCTAGTTTATTAATGTTTTAATAATTATAAAATAATATTTGTTGTAAAATAATAACTAACCAGTTGATCCGGAACACGAAATGGGACATGGTAAACACGTGCATAGTGCACTATTATGACCATGATGTTTATTAGGAGCAAATTGCCCGATGATCACTTTGTCCTCTAACCGAAACGGTTGAGTCTCTTCATTAACATTCACGACATGTGATGTATTGAATCCGTTACTCATTTTAATTGAATTTTATTCTCATATCAATAAATAAACTTAATTTAATTAAAATTTTAATTTACAAACACAGCATTCATTTATAAAACTAATGTAATATTATTAAAATACTGTATAATAAATGTAGTAACTTAATGTTATTACAACAAATTATGGCAATTAATTTTGACTTTTGTATTGCATTTTTTAATAAGAAATGTGCGAAAGTGTGTACTTTTGTTGATATAAATAAGATATACCTGTAATAATCAGATAACCAGGGCTTTGGGTATTATTTATTTAATACAATAAATGCTTCATTAAAGTGTGTAAACTATACAATACGATACTTGACAACAAAGTCTATAAAATGACTCTAAAAAATAAATAAATAAAATTCTAGTAATCCCATATACATTAGATTGTAGATGGACTATTTAAAATAGTTAAAATTGAAAATAATAATGTTGGTCAATCAATTTATTAGTGAAAACAAGTTTAAGTTTTAGATTTAAAAATTGTGACACATATGAAAGACTTTATCGCATAGTAAGGTATATACCATTACTCAATGAATGAGTTTATATTAACAACTTATGCATTTACAATTATTTACTAATTTAAACTTGTGGTCAATGTTATATTTGATGAATAGGATATACCNCATTACTCAATGAATGAGTTTATATTAACAACTTATGCATTTACAATTATTTACTAATTTAAACTTGTGGTCAATGTTATATTTGATGAATAGGATATACCTTAATATGCGATAAACTCTTTCATATGATGTTCAGCTGCATTAAATCATTGCTGGTTTAATCTAGTGATGGCGAATAGAGGTGTTTACAGGAATTTAAGGTTGGTAACGATACAATACAAAAATGTTTATGTTAACAACAGATATGTTAACATTTTATCAGGTTTTTAAAATTAATTAAATTGTTGCCAAAATTTACCATCAAATATCTCATATATACCACGCTTTGCAACTGTTTTTAGACACTTTCACAACGAAATCGGTCTTTAAATGTGAGGAAAGATAACAATTTTTTGCACAATTTATCACTAAATTTATTAAAAGTCTTAACAATAGTTTTGAGACATAAAAAATACACAAAATAATGATTGAAACAAACAATTAAATCAATACTCAACCAAAACATGTGTTTGTCTTTCAATATAAGGAGACAAAACAAGGATCACACGGGATGCTATGCGTTAACCACAATTCGGGTAGTGCTCAAAGAATAGATTAGCATTGTCTATTAATCTAATACGAGTACATAGGATTAGCATTAGTACCCATGAAGACCATACATTAACCATTGCCATAGACCTAACATTTTCCATAGACTTAACATTGTCCATAGACTTAACATTGTGCGTAGAATTAGCATTGCCATAGACTTAGCATTATCCATGTTAATTCTATGCCATAGACTTATCATTACCCATAGAATTATCATTGCCATAGACTTAACATTACCCATGTTATTCCTATTCCATAGACTTAGCATTGCCCATGTTAATCCTATACCATAGACTTAAGTTGTAATTCCATAAAAACTCATGTTAAAGCGTCCCCATGTTATCCTATGAAAGTTTCCCCATGTTAAAGTATAGCCATATACTTAAGCTGGGATTCCATGTTAAATTCCATAGGATGGGAGGCTAGGGGGGGAAGGGGGTAGCCTATAAACCACATTATTCATACTGAATTGTGGTTAAAAATGGATACAAAAATAAATTAATAAATGATTAATATATTTATTTCTAGATATTTCTAGAAATAAATGATTAAAATTCATATTAAAGTTATGATTAATAAACCATTGAACGGAAAAATACTTGTATTTTAAATTATGCTTAAAAGTTTAAGAATTAGAAGTGAGACATATGTGAGATTTATGTTTTAAACTATGTATATTAACCATCTGTAATATGGCAAAAACGACCATGGTCGCTCGTCTCGACATCCAAAGTTTAATCAATGTCATTTAGTTTGCATGAAAACACTGATTGCTGTAAAAGTGATGTGTACATTTATACAGTTTTATTGTTTATGTTAGAAATTGTTAGTCCTTATATATTTTATGCAGTATTTAATTTAGCCTTCAATTTATCTGTTTCAAATATTTTTGAAATTATTTTATTAAATTATATTTTTAAAATGAATTGCAATTAATTGTTTTAAAAAGTTATTTATTTCATTATAATTAATTTATTTAAAAGTTATTATTATTTTTAATTAATATAAATACTTATTTCAAATACTAATCACTGATTTAATACTATTAATTGATTTAAAGTGAAAATAATTATTTACTTAAAACAAATATTATGTAACACAGTTATAAAAGAAAAATGTCCGCAAAAAATGAGACGAATGGTTATCCTAAGGACTCGATGGACAGATTTGGCGACGATTTGAGTGAAGTATTATTGTCTTACCTCTCATTTGAAGACCGATTCCGTTATTACTGTTTGTCTAAACAATGGCAACGATTTGTATTTACCGCTCAAACAGACATCAAGATTGACGACAAACTCAATTAACACAAACACATTGACTCGTTTGACCTAATATTTAAAAAGTGCAAAAATATCAGTGAAATTGAATTACAGTTAATCTCATATAAGGAGACCAACAACCAATGGTTAGATGCGATTACCAAACACTGCCATAAATTACGTCAACTAAACGCCGATTACTTTAACGACACGAGTTTTCGGACAATTGTGTCGTTTTTCGTGAAATTTGCCCCACAATTGACATCAATTACGTTTACGAGAAAGTGGTTACTTTCGCCGCAATTCCCAGAATACAATTTGAATCACTGTATAAATTTGTCAGAAATTACGTCCAATCAGGAAAATTTACTTCATTTACTGATTGGCGACCGAAACGAGTGTTTATTTCCAAAACCACGTGAACTTGCGTTTAGTTATAGCGATCGAGACGTGAATATACTTCACGCGTTTGTCGATAAATTTAAAGAAAATTTACGCGTAATTAATGTACGGATTAACGACTCGGACTGTAATCAACAATCGTTTGATGCGCTAATCGCGGGATTATCTCAAATGAATAATTTGTTTAATATAAGGATTAGTGTTAAACATTTTGCCGACGCATGGGTTACCAGTTTGTCAGCCAATCAGTTGAGACAAATTGGCAGAAATTGTCCGAAGTTATTTTTGCTCCTGTTTAAGAAGCTGTAATCAAAGTTCTTGTGTTGCATGTAGTTTTTGATTAATTAATGATTTTTTGCACAAATTGTGTATTTTGAGATCATATAAACCTTAAATATTGAAAAGTCATTAATTAATCAGAAACAACATGCAACACAAGAATTTTGATTACAGATTTTTAAACAGGAGCAAAAATAAATCTCTCTCTCTCTCTCTCTCTCATTCATACTTTATTGTGGTTAAAAATATATTTACTTTTAATAATAATTATTTTTGATTTGCAATACACAATGTGTTTAATAATTTTAGGGCAATTAATAATATTTATAACCCAGTCATTGGAAAGTCGCCAAAAGTCTAGTCATAAATCTTGACAGCCTAACTTTGCAGACAAATTTTTGGTATTCTTAGTAATATCGTTTGCGGAACAAATCTCGCAAAAGCATTAATTCTACAATTTATATTAAGTAGTTAATAAATATATAAATATCATGTAATATTATGTAATAATATATAATATGATAATATGGTATGGAAATTAAACTGCATTTATAAATCTACAAAACGGTGCAAACTATTTGTCTCTATCTATTGTGGATCCGGAGATAATATCATGTGACGAGGTCATCTTCCAAACTATGTTTGAACCATGTTATCCAATGGGTTTTAATCATTGATCAATATTAGTCAATAAGTAGTTTTGCTAACCATTTTCAAAAAATATTTTTTTATTGACATATAATACATGAATGGTTAAGTGAAATTTAACGCTGAACACAATGATAATATTACCTTTTTAACCACTATTCTGATATGAATAATGTGGTTTATAGGATCGTTCGGCCCCCCTCCCTCCCCCCGCTCTATGGGATTTAACATGGGATAACAGCTTAAGTCTATGGCTATACTTTAACATGGGGTTCTTGAGTCTATGGGGAATTAACATGGGATTACAGCTTAAGTCTATGGCTATACTTTAACATGGGTAATGCTAAGTCTATGGCAATGCTAATCCTATGGACAATGTTAAGTCTATGACATAAGAATAACATGGGTAATGCTAAGTCTATGGCAATGCTAATCCTATGGAATTATCTATTCTGGTTGTATCATGTTGTATTTGTCTATTTTTAATATGGTTTTGTCACGGCATGGTAGAAGTTTAAAAATTATTTGTAAATATAAACATTAATTGCATAATTTTACTATACAATATTTCAATAAATTGTATAAATCACCATAATAGCTTCAAAATCATGTTTTAATTTCTGTGTAAATTTTATTATTATAAAAAATGTTAATTAAATAATATATAATAAAACTCTACAAAAATATATTTAGGTTTTAATGATACAATGATTTTTTATATTACTATAAAGTTTATGACAGACAAATAAAACATTTATTATATATAATAATTGTTGCTTGATGTCATGGATATTTGATTAATATATAGCAGCGCTGTCCATTGAGGCAAATCTACCAATTTATAAAATTAGTTAACATTATATATTTACCACAATGTAATACATGAATGAATGAGTACATAATAAACAAGTATTTATCACAAAAGACAGTAATTACTTTCCCTCATTCAAACAAACTAGCAAATATTATAAGTTTATATTACTTACAACATTTAAGATTAATAAACACAGTTTTTTATATAAATGAAAACTAACTATTAATTAATATTGTATTAAATATTTAGCATTAAAATGAGTGACGGAATAAACACATCGGTTGCCATCGATGGCAAAGAAGAGTCGCAACCATTTCAAACAGATGGCAAAGTGACCATACGCAAATTGCCCACTAACAACACTCACCAGGGTGGTAGTACTAATTGCAATTGTTCCATGTGTGCAATTTTATGTGTGCCCGTTGCGTGCGCTGGATCATGTGGTGTGTGTCAATATTTACCATGTCGATATTTATTTTATTTAATTAATATGTTTATCATTACATTTATAACAAAATAGCTTTAATATTATTGTTGATATGTTTGGCCATGTGCGTTTCTATAGTATTTATTGTGATGGGTAATATACATAATTTATAGTCAAAAACTTATACAATTTAATGTGATAAAATACTCATCAGGTTCAATCTATCTACACGACTGTCCCCGAGCGCCCGCATTACCCATATTAATGATAGTATGCGGTGTATTTAACATGTTCAATTTTCATACCAATAAAGATAAAAAGCGATCACGTTCATGCTTAACAATTGTATGGATTTGGAGATTAATCACCACGGGCACTATGCTCGCTTGTATGGACAACATTTTAATATTCATTTTATTAAAATTAATTAATTTAAAAACACTTTTGCCCTGATCCTAGTGATAATCATAGTGTACCAAGCTCGTTTTCCCTATTTTGATGACTCGGACTCGGAATTGTACTGCCACCCCAAACTATATATGTCCGCCTATTATATAATTAATATATTATTAGGTACTATATTAACTGGACTTGTAGTCTCATGTTTTCTTGTTGTAACAGGGTTAATCATAAAACATTTCACATAATAGTAAAATGTAATAATAAACAATATTTTATTGTTATAATTCGGCAATAATTTTGTATTAAAATAAATAACAGTAACTCTAAACTAATTATTAAAATGAATTATCACAGATTTATTTATATGTGATCATTACTAAATTGCTATTATAAGTAATTATCATGTTTACTAAAAATGACTAAACATTAAGACATTGAAATTAAAATTGTGTATTTGTTACAAACAAAAACTTATTGAAATCTAATGAAGTTGTTATAATTTATAATAATTTAGTATAATTTTACTAACAATCAAATAAAATATTTATCATATTATAAAATAGAGATACGAAGTCATGGATATTTGATTATTACATTTTAGTATATCTATAAAACAAGTATTTATCACAATTAAATGTCACATTTTATTACTTATACTCAAGTAATTTTAATAAACACAATATAATGAGCAGTACAAATAAATATATATTTAAAATGCACTATTTGTAACTAAGAGCAAAATTAATCATTATTGTTTTTGTAAATAGAACTATATTAATTACATGTTAACAATAGCATTAAAATGAGTGACGGATTAAGCAAATCGGTTGCCATCGATGTTAATGAAGTGTCGCAACCATTACAAACAGAGGATAAAGTGACCATCACCAATTTGCAACCACCCAGCACCAGTGAACGTGATGATGATTTTTGTTTAATGTGGACTTGGTTTTTCAAACCCTTTGCTTTTGTTGCAAAATACGGTTAGTTTTTATGTAGCATATTTATTATGTTATTTACTGTTAGTAACTTTTTATTGTATTCTAATTAATAATTTACTCATTAGGATTCTATGCAATTGCGATATTATTGTTGTTATTTTTTATACTTGGTGTACAGATTATATTCATAACAATGGGTAAATAAAATTTTATACACAGTATACCTCCGTTATAAAATAATAACTTGTGTGTCACAAATCAATGCCAGTTACAAAGCGAGACTTATAACAGCGTTATACCGTATCAAAGTAATATTAGGTTTATTTTAATTAAATTATGTAATTTGCATCAGGCTCAATCTACAGTCGCGTCGACTGCCCCGCAGCGCCGGCAATACCCATATTGATGATAATGGATGGTGTTTTTGGTTTATTCAACCTACAAACCACTAAAGATTATAATCGACCTAAATGCATGATCATATTTAGCAACATATGTAGATTAGTCACCACAATCACTACCATTGTTTGTATGAACAAATTGAATTAATTAATTTAGATGCAAACCTATTTATCAAAATTAATATAAAAATACCCTGTTTGTTAGTGGCGATAATAGTGTACCATGCACGTTTTCCTAATTTTGAAGACTCGGCATCCGACGACTACTGTCACCCAAACCTATATTTGACCGCCTATTGGATACTTAATATACTGTTTGGCGTCGCGGCCATAGCTATTGCAATATTTTGTTGTTGTTTTTTACCCAAGTTGATTTCTAAGAAGAAATTGGTACGACCTGGATATAGTCAATAATGGAACATAAAAATTAGTCAATTTATACATTATATTTTTGTAGTATTTGTGTTAAATTTTCATAATATAGTGTACTGTATAATTAATATAATTGCATTAACAATATAAATCTATTTACCGTATTAATTAATTTCGATATGTCATTTCCATTATTAACATAATACAAATGTTTATTATATATTAAATACAAATATGTATTTTTCACTCTTTTCTCTTACTTTATTTATTTGGATCTAAATACTGACACTCAAACATACATACTTCACACAAATTAAATTATTAATATATGAGTTAGTTAGCTATAATTACCTTGAATTTAATGTACAATATTATACTATAAATATGAGTATCTGTTAAATGTAATAATTTGATATATTTTTGATTATTTAAAATTAAGTCGAGTTATCGCACAAAGATAATGAATATTGTAAACACAAATTAATAAATACAATGAACATTGTAAAAAACATAAAATACTATTGAGTAGTAAATTAAGAGAACAATTTATTGAGATACAAACAAAAATGCATTTATTGTTTTCTTATAAAATATCAATTACTTAAATATAAAATTGAAATATTGTAATAAAGTGTATACTTTAATAGTATATTGAAAAGTGTATTTAAAATGACTATTAACAAGGTAGAAGTGAAACATATCGCCGATATAGTAGGCGAATGGGGTAAATGGCAGTTCATGTTATTCTCCCACTGTTTTCTATTCTTTGGTTCCGCGGCTTTTGTTAATATGGGATATGTTTTTCACGCAAAACGTGTGGACTTCTGGTGCGCCGACACACCAACCAATCTAACTGTAAATATATTTCCAGTTTACATGTCATTTTTCATTATAAAAGTTATATTTAATTATTAAATTTTTTGTCAAATGAAAATTAGATTCTTGTTTATTACCCTCAGGGTATTTTATTTAAAAACTAATTTTTAAAAATAAATTATGTTAATAATAATAGAATGAGATTTTATTGTTTGATTTTTAATTTTATATTTTTTATTTGCATAATAATAAAGTCACAACATTTGAGCGATGAAACAAAATGTCATAAATATAGTAATCCAAACGAAAGCTGCACTCATTGGGAGTACAATAGGACTCAGTTTCGTAAAACAATTATTACTGAAGTAAGAAATTTTATAAGCAATTAATTAATTTATTAAATAAAATATAATTATTGGTAACATTAATACAATAATAAATATTTCTCTAGTTTGACTTAGTGTGCGATCGTGCTAACTTTGCATCCCTGACACAATCAGTTTTCATGTTGGGTTATGTGGTGTCGGGTCTCGTGTTATCGCATTATAAAGATAAATATGGTCGACGACCCGTCGTATTGTTGTGCTATGTTATTGAAATATTAGCAATTATTTCTTGTGCATTCTCATATAATATTTACCAATATCTATTCTCACGATTTCTCACCGGAATGGGTCATTCTGCCATTAGTGGTGGTCTATATGTAATATGTAAGTAATTAATCATTATGATTTTATACAGTAATATATGTGATTTATTAATTTTTATTTAGTGCTCGAGTGTTGTGGCCCTAAATATCGGTCAGATATAGCAATATTGTCGATTGTTGGTTGGGTATTGGGCTATGTATTAGTGCCTCCGTACGCATATTGGTTGCAGGACTTTCGATACATGCAATTAATATCAGCCCTACCATTGCTAGCAATGTTAATCTGGTTTTATTGCCTTCACGAGTCACCACGATGGCAATTAATTAATGGCCAGACGGCTAGAGCTGAGGTTATCATTAAAAAGGCATTGACAATGAATGGCAAATCTGTGGACAACTTAAGCGAACAAATGAGACAATTGGCTAATAGTATGCAAACAACACCAGTAATTACCTAGATAACAATATACACATATGATTATAACAATATGCTTATTGATGAACGTAAAACATTATTTCTGTTCATACAACTAGGAAGCAAACAAAAAGGAGAAAGGTCACAACGTGCTGGATTTATTCAAAACACCAAACATTAGAAAATACACATTCATTATATGGTACGGACAGGCGATAAACGCGTTGATCTACTACGGGCTGAGTTTAAACATGGGCGACTTTGGGGGCAATTTCTACGTAACTTTCCTATTGATGGGTTTGATGGAACTGCCGGCACAAGTATTGCTCCCATTATTCCTGCGATATATTGGGCGCCGCAAAGTGTACGCCATGTTTATGATAATCACAGCCATGTCCTGCGTGGCAGTGGTTTTCTCCCAGAGCCAGAGCTCATGGCTGCGGGTGTTGTTGGCATTGGTGGCCAAATACGGGATTAGTAGCTCATGGATGGCGCTATCAGTTCATGGCTCGGAAATCTATCCGACAGTTGTCCGCAACACAGGACAAGGCGTGGCCTCAGTTGTCGGTCGCGTCGGCTCTATTAGCGGTCCATTTATGGGAAATTTGGTATTATTTTGGCATCTATTGTGAATGTTTTGCAATTTATACACACGTTATATGTTTACAGATTTTAAACATGATAATTTTATATATACATATTTATTTATTTAGGCCTCTGTGACTAGTTTAACATTTGTAATGGTATTATATGGTATATTGACAACTGTGGGCGCAATATTGCACATGTATTTACCCGAAACTAAAGACAAAGAAATACCCGACACATTACAAGAGACCGAAAATCTAGATCAAAATACTATTATTTGACGATTATTTAGTTAAATTGTTTATAGATTTATTTATCACATAATTATTTATCTCTCTCTCTCTCTCTCTCTCTCTCTCTCTCTCACTTTAATGACTTGACTCCAGAGTAGGTTCACCAGGAATGTAATGAATTAAACAAAGATAAATAAATTGCGAGAACTTGTTGCGTTTGTATGCCACTTTTATGTTGCAAGAATAAAGTTATGCTACAAAAAGTGGTATACCTGGCTGCAGGCAATAATGAAATATAAAAATTGATCAAGTTTATATAATTTTTTTTGCAGTGTTCATGTGAAGTTATGGTATTGTTGTGTAATTTGGTGTATAATAATTTATCACATTAATATGATATACATCAATTTATTTATTAACCCTGATATGTAGTTTCCGTTGTTAACATAATAAATAGATTTATTTATTATACATTTCTTGGTTTTATACTTTCATTAACACTTAAACTGTAAAATATTTTTTATTTGCCTTGAATTTAATGCACAATTAATATAAATATAAGCATGTGTTGAATGTCAACTATTAATAAATTTATGTCACTTTTGATTATCTCAAATTAAATGCAGTTATCGCAAAAAAATAAATGTAATTTTGTATACACAAATTAATAAATACAATGAACATAGTAAAAACATTAAAATAGTTTTAAAAAATAATTGTAACAACTTTTTGGTGATGTATCAATGAAAACAATGCATCACTTAAAATATATCATTAAAAATATACAGCAAAATTAAATGTTTATTATAAAATGACTACCAATAAGGTAAAAGTGAAACATATCGCTGATATAGTGGGCGAATGGGGTAAATGGCAGTCCCTATTCTTCACCCATTGTATACTATTGTGGGCGACCGAAGCTTTCGTTAACATGGGATTTGTTTTTCACACAAAACGTGTGGACTTCTGGTGCGCCGACACACCAAACAATCTCACTGTAAATACATTTTATATTATCAATATATTTAAAATAATTATTTATTATTTGATTTGTTTTTAAAATATTTTTTTAATACTGTATAAAAGTCGCAACATTTAAGCGATGAAACGAAATGTCATAAATATCTTAATCCGAACGAAAGCTGCACTCATTGGGAGTATAATAGGACTCAGTTTCATAAAACAATTATAACTGAAGTAATATTTAAAACTATATTTAATTATTTTATTAAGCAAAATATGACATAATAATTAATATATTGATAGTTTGATTTAGTGTGCGATCGGGCTAACTATGCACCGCTAACACAATCATGTTTCATAATGGGTTATGTGTTTTCGGGTCTCATTGTATCGCATTTCTCGGACAAATACGGTCGACGACCCGTCGTATTCATATGCTATGCCATTGAAATATTGGGCGTTATTTCCTGTGCCTTCTCATATAACATTTACCAATATCTAATCTCACGATTTCTCACCGGACTGGGCTATTCTGGCCTCAATGGGGCTTTATTTGTAATCTGTAAATAATTAATCATTTTCATTTTATACAGTAATATGTAATCACAGTATTTATATTTGTGTAGTGCTGGAGTGCAGTGGCCCTAAATATCGTTCATATATAACAATCTATGTAATCGGCGGTTGGGTATTAGGCTATGTATTATTGCCTCCATTTGCATATTGGTTGCCAGACTTTCGATACATGCAATTCGCATCGGCTCTGCCATTAATACTATTGTTAATCTGGTTTTATTACTTTCATGAATCACCACGGTGGCAATTAGTCAATGGACAGGTAGACAGGGCTGAGGTTACTATTAGAAAAGCATTGCAAATGAATGGGAAATCTGTGGACAACTTAAGAGAGCAAATGATACAATTGGCTAACAGTATACAAACATCAGTAATTATACGCTTATAAATATAAATGATCATAATTATAATTAGCATAAATTTTATTTTACATAAAAATATTCAAATATTTTCACATAATTAGAAATCAATCAAAACTAAGAAAGGTCATAATTTGCTCGATTTGTTCAAAACACCAAACATGCGTAAATACACGTTAATCCTATGGTACGCGTGGGTGGTAAACGCGGTTATTTATTACGGCATCAGTTTAAATATGGGTGACTTTGGGGGCAATTTCTACATAAGCTTCCTATTGTCGGGTTTGATGGAACTTCCGGCAAATCTGTTAACACCACTATTCCTGCGATATATCGGTCGACGAAAACTGTACGCAATATTCATGATAATTACGGGCGCGTCGTGTGTGGCAGTGATCGCCGCCGACCGGAGCTCATGGCTGCGGGTGTTGTATCGTAACCACCCCTTTATGCCATAGTCATCGAGGACCTTACACCAGCAGTAAGTACCTAGTCTTTAAATAGGCTGTCAATAGGCGTGCTGACCTGAGCCTCAGCACAGTCAACAGCCAGCGAATCGTTCTATTAGCGCACCATTTATGGGGAATTTGGTATTAAATTACAACTATTATGAGTGCTTGTGATATACAGTCTGACCGATATTTTAGTATGTCACCGTGGTCAAATAAAATATTGACTGAAATTCTATTCTATTAAAATCAGGTACATTAACTGTAGTAATAAGACCCGACAGCAGCCAAAACACTGTGTTAGACGAATTTTTTAAAAAAATTCTGTGTCAAAATTGAGGTCAAACTGTATAATATGCTGCGTGTATTATCAATCACAATAATTTAATTTAATATTTTGTATTAATTTAGGCCTCTGTGACTAGTTTAACATTTGTGATGGTATTATATGGTGTTCTAACAGCTGTGGGCGCAATACTAGTGTTGTATTTGCCCGAAACGAAAGGCAAGGAAATTCCCGACACATTAGAAGAGGCTGAAAATTTAGATAAAAACAATGTTTATTGATAAATATTTAGTATTTGTATAAAAATCATTTTTAATAAAAAAGATGATAATACCATAAAAGACATTTTTTTGTGAAGTGAAACAATTTCAACTTTTGGTTGACACCATTGATTTGTTCAGACAATTGGTATTTTTTTTTAACTTTATGTCTATGGAATACTTGTTTTGGATTGGTACATACAAATACAATTAATAAAAATGAAAAATATTATTCCAATAATTAAAATTAATGCAATTAAAATACATGTATTAAGTATTAGCCATAAAAACTAAAAACCTCAATATTTCAAATAACGATAATTTTCATTTGGAATTAAATATTTCAAATGTTTTTACTCATGGTATTAAAATAAAACCTCAAATTATTTAAAAATATAATTTTATATAATGTCCATATTCAAACTTTTTGGTTTAAAAATATTGGTAATCAGTTTACAACACTGCTATCGTTCAAATAATGATAGTGAACTAAATCAAGCTAGGCATGCAACTTTATTCAATTTGTCGTTCATTTTGTCTTAATAAAAGGGAAGCCCCGGCTCAACAGGGAAGAATGTTCCCGGGTATAACTATTTTTATTTCATTTTACCTCAAAATTAGTCAAAACATTAGCTGATTTCACAGTGCATTTTATTAACGATAGAGCATATTATTTTATTATTTATAATATACAATTTCGATACAATAACTATACTTATATTACAGGGAATTACAAGGAAAATGATAGATAAAAAAGTAATTTTGTAAGAGGGATTCCCACTCCGTACCGTTTCACTCATTTCAATGGGCAATAATATCACATTTAGATAATCACAAAAAGATAAATATTGTATATATTATAAACAGATGGACACAATCAAACATACATTAACAAAAACGCGAATTAAACATTTAGTAAATATATAAGTAAAACAAAAACATACCAACTTTGTTAATCGATTATTCATAAAAACAATTTGTGCGATGTCTTAGTATAAAAATTATACAAATAATTCATTATGTAATATGAAACATTAAATTTGATACATATATATTGATAATACACGTATATTTAATTATATATCAAATGCTTGAGTTTTCAAAATAAAAATGAATACCAACAAGGTAGAAGTGAAACATATCGCTGATATAGTGGGCGAATGGGGTAAATGGCAGTTCATATTATGCGCCCATTGTTTTTTGTTGTGGTCGTCCGCCGCCTTCATTAACATGGGATACGCTTTTCACGCAAAACGTGTGGACTTCTGGTGCGCCGACACACCAACCAATCTCACTGTAAATACATTTCAATTTACATCAAAAATAATATTTTATTTTATGATTATAATATCAACTTGTAAGTTTTAAACTTGAATTTAAAAATCATGTTCATAACATAACGCTACAGTCGCTACCTTTAAGTGATGAAACGAAATGTCATAAATATATTAATCCAAACGAAAGCTGCACTCATTGGGAGTACAATAGGACTCAGTTTCGTAAAACAATTATCACTGAAGTAAGAAAATTATTATTTATGTATTTAAATACTATTATTATATAAAATGCAAACTACTGTATAAAATATTATTAATATATTGATAGTTTGATTTAGTGTGCAATCGGGCTAACTATGCCTCTCTAACCCAAGCATTTTTCATGTTGGGTTATGTGGTGTCGGGTCTTATTGTAGCTCATTATTCGGACAAATACGGTCGACGACCCATGGTGTTAATGTGCTATGTCGTTGAAATATTGGGCATAATTTCCTGTGCCTTCTCTTATAATATATACCAATATCTAATCTCACGATTGTTGGTTGGAGTGGGCTATTCAGGCCTTAGTCGAGCTACTGAAGTAATCTGTAAATAAATGATCATTCACAATCAATGCAATAATTTATTACTTATTTACTCTGTATTAATTTAGTACTCGAGTGCTGTGGCCCTAAATATCGATCAGATATACAAATCGTGGCCGGAATTGGTTGGGTATTAGGCTATGTATTATTGCCTCCATTTGCATATTGGTTGCCGGACTTTCGATACATGCAATTCATATCTACTATACCATTGATAGCGATGCTAATCTGGTTTTACTATCTTTATGAGTCTCCGCGATGGCAGTTAGCTAATGGACAGATAGACAGGGCTGAGGTTACCATTAGAAAGGCATTGCAAATGAATGGCAAATCTGTTGACAATCTAAAAGTGCAAATGCAACAATTAGTTAATTGTATGCAAACAACACAAGTAATTGACACAAATGCTAAATGAATGTGTGAAATATGAATTTTAATTGTGGTATAAAATAATTTTCATTTTTATTTATAATTAGAAAGTTGACAAAAAAGAGAAAGGTCATAATGTGCTTGATCTGTTAAAAAAACAAAATATTAGAAAATGCACATTAATTATATGGTATTCATGGGTAGTAAACGCGTTAATTTATTACGGACTGAGTTTCAACATGGGTGATTTTGGGGGCAACTTTTACGTAACATTCGTATTGTCGGGTTTGATGGAACTTCCGGCACAACTGTTAACACTAGTACTTCTACGATATATCGGTCGACGAAAACTGTACGCAATATTTATGATAATCACTGCCCTGTCGTGTGTGGCAGTGATCGCCGCCGACCAGAGCTCATGGCTGCGGGTGTTGTTAGCGTTGGTCGGGAAATACGGTATCAGCAGCTCATGGAATGTGATTCAAATCCATGGCTCAGAAATCTATCCGACAGTTGTCCGCAACATCGCTGTAGGGATCGCCTCAGTTGTCGGTAGGGTTGGCTCTATTAGCGCACCATTTATGGGAAATCTGGTATTAATTATGCATTTGTTATGTGTGCACGTAATATGCAGTCGGACCCCGATTTTAGCATTTCACCATGGCAAAAAAATAAGTGCCATGATTATATTCCTTTCAATTTATGTACATTAACAATAGTAATATGACGGGAGCTAAGAAAAGAGTGTTAAAATTCAACTTTTCTAAAAATAATGTATCAAAATTGGGGTCAAACTATGTTTTATGTTGCATGGATTTCAAGTGACAATAACTTAATTTAATAAGTTGTATTAATTTAGGCATCTGTGACTAGTTTAACATTTGTGATGGTATTATATAGCGTACTGACAGCTGTGGGCGCAGTACTAGTGCTATATTTGCCCGAAACGAAAGACAAGGAAATTCCCGACACGTTAGAAGAAGCTGAAAATTTATATCAAAACAATATTATTTAACTATAATTATCATGTTGTTTAAAAAATATAAAATTACAAAACAAATTAAATCCATATTATTTAAAATTATTTACAATTTGTCAAAGTTTATTTAATAACATGTTGTTAAAATACAAAATTAGTGAATTTATACGAACATAATTGACACAATAATTATCAAACTGTTCATTGTATTAATTGTTATTATTAAGGCTTAATTCAAATGTGTCATTGTGAAATATATTTATTTTTAACAACTAATATAAATTAACTGACTCTGTAATGGATAAATGAATTTACATGTAAAATTTGTCTAATATGAATTACATTAATTCAAACAATTTGAATCTATTTTGCTACAAAAAATTATTTAATTAAATAATATTTAAATAATAATTAAGGTAAAAATAAAAATTATTTAGTACATGGAGAACATAACACAATATAAAATTTATTTCAATCAATAAATAGCTTTTTAAAAGAAGTACAGTGGGACTCACTATATATGTAACGATTTCAAAGTTTAATAACATTTTTATTTTATTTAATACAAATGTCTAATGTGTTCGATATGATTGCCCTGTTTCTTGACAACAAGTCGGCACCGCTTTTTCCAAGAAAATAATGCTCTTTGGATGTCTTCTTGAGGAAACGCGCGCCACTCCTTCTGAACACATTTCCAGAGCCCTTGAAGTNGCGCCACTCCTTCTGAACACATTTCCAGAGCCCTTGAAGTCCTTTAGGTTTGTATTTATTAAGTCGGCGTTTAAGGAGACCGAAGACACAGAAATCCATGGGACTGATATCAGGGCTCTTAACAGGGATGTGCTTTCGTGGGATATAATTTATACCAGTGTTGGCCTTCAATTCGTCCAGTTTTTCGGTGGTCTTCGCCGAGAAATGACTTGATGCCAAATCCTGATGAAAATACACTTCTTGGAGCTGATCCTGTGAATAAAGTCGCTGAATGTCCTTATAAATGAGTGGCAAACACTTATTTGAATAGTATTCTGAGTTAATTTTCACTTTTGGAGCCACTTTCTGAAGTGTAAGTTTGCCGTTATATGAAACGCCGGCCACAACCATAAAACCCTTAGGATTTTGCTCGTGAAATCTCACCCAATGTTTGTCATCACTTTTGTCTTGTTTGGCGTAATAAATACTCCTTCGGCGGCCAGTATTATGCATATAAATCCAAGCCTCGTCTACTGTGACCACATTTTTGTACTTTTCTCCACTTAAATACCGGTCGTATAGGTGTCGGGCAGTGGTCTTGCGGCGGGCCTTATGGGCGGCATTTAATGCCTGAACTTTTGCTTTTTTGACGAGTTTTCTCTTTAAATCTAAATTAATTACACGTCTTAATGTCGATCTGGTTGTCTTCAGTCTGATAGCCAACTTTCTTTGTGGTAAAGGATTCTCTTTGCAGACATATTTCTCTGTTTCACGGATTAGTTGAGGCGTTCGCACCCGTCGGCCGCGGGGTTTATTGGGAGATACAACCATTTGAGCCAATTTTCTTGACTTTTTTGTCTTGAAATTTAATACACGACTGATATATGCCTTATTTGTCTTTATACCGAGTGATAATAACTTTGTTTTGATCACTGAATAACTCGTACCATACGACACTTCCATGGCCTACACCAGTAGGTGAGGGCTTCCTCTGTTGTTATGAAGTCTGTACAAAAGTGTTTGTTTTGTGTGCAAAAAACTTTCAAATCATATATTAGATGTCAGACAATGCATTTTTATTGCCAAAAGTATTATACTTTTTATATAATTTACAGTTCAAATCGTTACATATATGCTGAATCCCACTGTATTGCTAAATGTATATTGTATTGCTATAATATATTGTATAATATATTCATAAGTTTTAATATTAATAGTTTTTATATTTTTATAATAATTCCCTGACTTTTTAGTATTGTATAAAACCCTAACCCTTAGCCACAAACTGTGTATATAAGCCCTGCCTTTGTGTGCATTTACTTCAGTCTCAGTTTGGGTTTCAATCAATAAACGTGTTTTATAAGAGTAAACCCGTGTGTCGTCTCTTTAGACTCGTGGCCGGTATCGGGTGGAGTGGTTCCAGAGGGCGCCCTCGGAAAGAGCCGTTGCGTTAGTACACCCACAGGTCTCGGTAGACATCTGTGACCACCGCCCAACACGTGGCGTCGGCCTTCCCCGCCAACACGTGTCGATACCCCCACCTCCGGAAGAGGTGTTGCCCTCACCGGTCGTCAGACACCCCCGTTGTGGGCTCTGACAGGAGTCGACACCGTTAAGAGGATCTGCCGGTGGAGAGCATCCACGGGCCGAGAGAATCGGCCGCCACTTCGAGAGAGTATCTCGTGGACTGTCTGCGTGTTCGGCGAACGCGCGCCCCATCACAGGACAAGTGAGAGCCCAGCGCGGGGTCTCTCACGCCGTATCGTTGCGCGCTTTGACTACTCTGGCCGTCAGCTATTGCCCAATACTGGCCGCCCCTCGTCTCAACCCCAGGACCCGAACAACTCAACTAATCACCCGCTATACTCACTTTCAGCACATATACCGATAAATTTGTGCAAATATGCAAATTTCTGGGCCGGAGTAATAACAATACAATCCCTCACTATATGTGTGCCAATAGAGCGCGTGCGCACACATATAACCAATCGTTGGCTAAACAAAGACTTGAATGGCATTAAAGCGAGAATGCATTCAATACAACACTTGTGTCGCTCAGTATAACGACTGAGCGCTAAGTTATAAATAGTTTTTACTTTTACGCTTACGTTGAGTGTCACGTGACTCGAGAGCAACACTGCGTCGACTCCGCGAATAGCATAAGAGACACGTTCGACACATTCGAGCAGTCATTTTGTGTTGAGTGTTGTCTTCGAAGAAGTCGTTTATTATTTGCTATTTTGTTGTGTTTTTGTCGTTTGTGTCCAATAGTTGTCAACACATCTAAACGTAAATCGCGTTTCATTTACTAATAATTAATTAAATTAATTGATTAACAAATGGTTTGCAAGCGTTTGGCGTTCTTGTATTGAATTGTTTGAACGATTGAGTCAATGAGTCTTTGTTTACAATTCAGCGATGAGTTGAATAGCATTTGACTCTCTATTCAACACTCCATTCACTGCTTGAATGTAATCTCAAATGGTTTGCAATAAATTGTAATTAATTTTGATTGAGTGGACACTTCATCTCACAGTCATATTATTGGTGGCCATCTCTTGTTGCGGCGGACACTAGCTTTAGGTTGAGTTACGGCCTCTCTTTCTCTCGGGCGTCAGTTGCGAGCGTCGGAACTGAAACCACGGGTTTAGCTATCAGTGATGCTCTCACTCTAGAGGTGGTCAGCGGTCATACCCTCTCCGGTCAGTCTGTGGTCAACACTCCGTACGCACACAACTGCAGCGGCGATACTCTCGTCGCGCACTTGTGGTGTCGTCGACGGCCAGTGATGGCGACCAACAGCTACTCACTGTCGCTGTCTCGCAGTCTTCGGGCGCCCTTCACAAGGAGTCGCCAGAGGGTTAGGGCAGAGCCCACACAGTGTGACCACAATTTATAATGTTTGTTGAAGAATACGTTTTCGTCAATATTTTGCATAACATTTAGGGTTCTGTCCCTCTATTCATACAATTGTATTGAACTTCTCTTTGGAGTCCACTTTTGGGCGGCAGTCATATAAATTATTGCTGTCAAAAAGGGGGAAACAAGTGGGGGAAAGCAAATTTAAGGCTGGTTTAGATACAACATATATTTGTTATTAAACAATTATTAAATAAATAGTTTTATTAATATCAAGAATAAACCATTTCTGGAATAAATAGTATATTTTTATTATAATAATAATTTATTGAAAATATAAATTTTTTGACAATTAATAATTATATTTTTGAAATTATTAAAAATATAAAATATTCATTTACTTATTAATTATTTAATATTAATATTATCAATTATTTATTTCATTGAATTTAATGACCAGACTCTAAGACAAGAAATTAATGATTGATCAGATAATGAATTAGTCATCATTTTTCCTAGCCTTTATAATTAAATTGTTGCATATATTTACCATATATTGTCTCATTTAGTCGACTCTTAACCACTCATTTTGTCTACAAATAACAGGAAAGACAATAACTTATCGCATATTTTGTCACCAAATCAATCGAAAGACGATTTACTGTAATTTGGAAACTTTTTTCGCACAAAATGATTGAATCAAACAATTAATACAACAATTAAATTAATACTCAATCAAAACATGTGTTTGTCTTTCGATAAAAAAATTCAATAATAGGAAACAGAAATAAATTAATTAATGATTATTATATTTATTTGTAGATATAAATGATTAACATTTATATAAAAGTTATTTTTACCCACATTGACTAAACATTACTTGTATTTAAAGTTATGTTTAAAAGTTTAAGAATTATATGTGAGACATAAATAAGATTAAAGCATATTTTTATTTTAAACTATGTATATTAACCATAAGGTAATAATTCAAGGACAACTTAAGTTGGTATCTGGACTGCTGTAATATAAATGGGTTTCGATTCAAACACTAAACTAAAAATTTTAAATGCAAAATAAGTCACATTTGTTTCAAAGCATTGCATGAATTAAAGTCAATATAATTCTAATCTAATTCTTAGATATGATTTCATATTAAAATTTATACTCAAATCATATCATAATTTATAAATGATTAGAGAATTGGCTTTAAATGAGAAGAAGAATGGATTCAGAAGTGAATAAATTGAGTCCAAAAAGCAATGAATGGATGAATGCATTGAGTTTTGGACACAATTGCGACCAAACATTACATATAAAAAAGCCATCGATTCTTATCACAAGACTCACCACAAATGAGATCCACAAATACGACAACTATTTCTACGAGAAATATATTGTCAACTCTTCTCAAAGTGAAGAACCCATTGATAATGACATCCAAAGCATAGAAACGCCAGAATTGATGCGGAATTTGAATCTCATTTCAT